GCAGAGGCAGAGTGTGTAGATAGTTCAAGTGAGTATGAATTTGAAGAAGAAGCAGCAAAATAACTTTAGAAATTTAACATTTTTTTTTCTTCTATTTTTTTTTTCTTTTATTTTCTTTTGTTTTTTTGCTTTGTTTTTTTGCTTCTTTGTATTTAAATATTATATTTTCGATTTTTGTATTCTTTTTGAATATTTTTTTCATTGTTTTTCTTGCATATTATTATATTGAATTTATAATAAAATTTGATAATTAAAATCGTAACATTAAATGATATATATAATGAATATACAAATAACATTAGTAAATCGATTTGTTTCTGTTTAATTATAAACAATTGTATGCCGATTTATAGTCAAATTATATTATACCGAATATATATCATTTTAGTGCCGAATGGGAAATGCTGAGTGGCATGCGATTTTTGCCATTCGGCACTTTTTCGGCAATATTAGTTTTAAAGAAAATCACATATAATTCGCATAGCATTTGCTTATAAATCATTATAACAAATGGCAAAATTTCAATTAGTGATATATTCTTTATGTGGCATAATCAATATCAGATCAAAGACTTGAGCCCTGATCTGAGTAATGTGCTTTGTTCCAATCTGAGTAATTCAGACTTGGGTCACAGAAACAAATTATGGTTTTGGGGCTTAGTTGGGTCATAGTGGTAGTGCGGCTTGGCTAATTATAACATTATCTCCTCCTTTAATACCATGTCTTTTTCAGCCCTTCCTTGACATTTTTGATGACTTTAAGGAACCAGGCTTATTCGGGTAATGTTGATGGAACTTACGAACCGCCTCTTGAGCATTTGCAACATTCATAGCCAGTTCCAAAGAGTGCTCATTTGGGTCATAGCCTTTTCAATCTACAAGGTAGTAAAGCTTTTTGTAGATATTTTTTGAGTCCAGAATTTTATTGACTTCATATTCTGACTCTCCTTTTACAATTGTAGTTGGTGGTGGGCATTTGCCGTCTGGATACATTATTGGCAGTGAAGAGTTTAAATAGAGAGACATGGAATATATCATAGATTTTAAGAAAACATGGCAAAGACAAATGGTAAGCAACTGGGTTAATTTGAAATAAAATTTTGAAGGGTCCTAATTTTTGAAAGTCTAATTTATCGCATAGTCGCTGGGTGTAAATATTGCATCGCAACAGCCAAACACAGTCATCAATGTTGAATTTTAGAGCTTCTTGGTGTAGTTAATCAGCATATTGCTTGTAACATTTTTGGGCAACTTTTAATTCCTGAATGAAACTTTTCCTAATTTGTTGCAATTGAATTACTTTATTCTCTGCAGAGGGTATAGTTAAATTTAGGGGTACCTGCATATTGAAGCAGGGATGAAACCCATAATTAGCGAAAAATAGTGCCTTATTTGTAAATATATGAATAGAGTTGTTATAGAAAAATTTAGCTAAAGGTAAGAGATCATTTCAATTATCCTGCTAATAGTTTATAGTACATCTTAAGTATTGTTCCAATACTTGATTCACTTGTTCACTTTGGCTATCAGATTGAGGGTGAAAAGCAGAAGATAAGTTGATTTTTGTTCCCAGAAGCTCAAATAATCGTCTCCAGAACCTCAAGATGAATTGTGAACCCCTATCTGATACAATATTTTCTGGAATGCTATAGAGACAAATTACTTCTCTAAGTATTAGATTTGCTATTTGCTCTGCATTAATGGCCTTATTACAGGCGACGAAGTGGGCTATTTTAGATAGCTGGTCAACCACAACCAAAATAGAATCGAAACCCGAAGATGTAGGTAGGTCTGTGATGAAGTCTATGGATATAGATTGCCATGGATGGGCAGGTATCAGAAGTGGTACCAAAAGTCCATATAGATGATATCTTAAAGTTTTAGACCTGGAACACATAGGTCGAAAGATAAAAAATCAGACACAAATCAGATACCCGATTTTAAACTGATTACTGCATGATTACCATCTGATTTATACATATTTTTGTACCAAATTTTTGGTACAAAAATATGCATAAATCAGGTGGTAATCAGGCAGTAATTAGTTTAAAATCGGGTACCTGATTTGTGCCTGATTTTTTATCTTTCGACCTGTGTTAAACTTGATTACAAATATGAAGATGGTATTGGCGTAAGATAAAAAGAAGACTATTAAATATTATATAAAAGCAGCTAAACATATTGTAAAATATTTGAGCTATTTAATCTTGAAGTTTTTTTTTTAAAGAGACCTCTTTGGCCTGAAGGCTTTTATTAGGATTTGAAATGATATTCAGTTACAATGATGGTACATCAAGCCACACATGCACCTTTTAAATGCCTAATTTAAGTAGTCTACCCGAAGGTTCTATACTATCTGCTGTACCTGCACCCCAACTAGGGGGGGTACCCATTTAAACCATCTGGTTCTAACCTTCTATCATTTAACCACCTAACTCTGGGTTACCTCACTATTTATATATAGATTTTGGATTACCCTTGCAAAGGATACACTGACTGCCTTAGGACTTACCAACTATTTCTGACTAATCTATCCTTGAGGTAAATTTAACAGAGCAGTACATGTCCCACACATGTATTCACCTGCATGTTCAGTAATTTCTTCCCAATTAGTACATATTGTCTGCCACCATTGTGTTCGTATCTCATGCCACCTTTTGGGGTGCTGCCGTAACACAATCTGTATCTCAAGCCCAACCTTTCTAATTAGTTGCCTATTACATACTCCTTGCCCTTATCCAGTTTACAACAACCCCGATACCCACATTTAGACTACCTTCTTACCCAATTTTTTATCAGTCTCTCCCATACTTCTAGCTGGTAACTCAGATAGGTTGGTCTGCTCAGGCTGAAGGACGCCCTCCCCTTGGTCCATACTTTCAGAGTATATGCCCTTTTCTTCCAGTGCATCAGTCTGGCGGTTCAGCTGGTGTGTCCTTCCACTTAAGGACCTGGTCACTTGGTTCTCCAATCTCGGGCCCTGGTTCAAATTTAGCCCTTCTGTGGTACCATCAAAAATCACTGCTACCTCCAAATTCAGGACTTGCCAAATAGGTTTTCGGTTATTCCAGTTTCTCAGATTTATTGCGCCAAAGCTTTCATAACTAGATGGTGTGACTGAGATTACAGATTTCTAGATCCAACCAATAATTAACAACCGTAAACCATAGAACAGGCTATTTTCAAAATTCATTGTCCATGGGATTTGAACTCTAGACCTGCCACTTGGAGAGAGTGATGACTAGACCACTATACTAAGTCACCACACCTATCTTGAAGTATTTTAAAAATGCAATACAAAATAAAAACTATTATTAAATTATAAATTTTGATTTATTAATATATAACATTAATTTGTTATATAGTCTTCCTCCTCTATAATCACCTCCTCTATAATCACAACTCCTATATAGTCACACAAATTTTTAATACAAACTTTTTACTTATAAAAATACCTATATATAATTACAATTCGCTTATAATCACTATCACATAAAAATAGTATAAATAAATATATATACATATATATTATTCTTCTATAAAATCACAGGCCAGAAATATGTTATTAGTAAAATTGTTGAATTACGGGTATTATAGCATTATGGCATTACTAAGGTTGCTAGTGGTAACTAATCATGTTAGTTACTATGATAATTATTAGAAATTCCCAGCAAGTTACTATTTGAAAGTGCAAACATTTCATTATAGTATAAATTTAGAATTTGCTTGCAATTTCTGCTATACTAATATTTGAAAATTTTTTGAACATCATATATCTAGCTAATATACATGTCTTGTAATATATTTGTTTAATTGGTTCTGGTTTAATCTTATTAGCTTTTAAAAATTAGGTTAATCTATTTTATTTAACCAATAAGTGATTTTTCAATAATTTCTTTGCAGTAGGTCATTTATCATAATCTTTATCTATTTTATAGCTAATTTAATATAACAATCTAGTCCTAACATTTAGGTCATGATCCATAAATAGCAATAACTCCAAGACTGTGAATATCTAATGCTTGAGTATATAGTTGACCATCAAAACTTCAGGTGCTATATATGGCAGAATCTCACAAATTTTCTTTTCCTTCACTTTTTTAGAAAGTCCAATACCAGTAACATGCACACTATACAAATGATCTTGCAAAATATTTCTGCTATGTAAATATTTTGTGAATGAGTTTCTGTGAACAAATTGACTAGCATAGTACAAAATAATTAATTTATCCTTTTATTCTAATAATAATTTTTGTACAAGATTTTGTTATAACAACCCTTTTAATACCAAATTCCAGGGCAATAATATAATCGTCATGATCATTACTTGGTACTTCTGAACAGTTCAAGAATAAAGATTCTCATAATCAATCTCACAATAATTCTTCAATTTCTGGATAAATTCTTGCATATTTCTATCTGAATCACAAATCACTTTAAGTGCAAGATAACTTAAATCATTCATCATCATTTAATATTTTCCTAATTTAGAACTATATTATCTAGTAATTTGTTAGTTTTCAGATGATTTCTATATTTTGTGAACCAAAATTCACTTCCTTACCAATGCTGTTTTTGATATAATCAAGCAATATGCTTTATTGAACTTTATCATAATAACCAATATTATATATTGTGTAGCATTATTTAAACCAGCAGATTTCTTACAATATTCTTTAATTCTAATGATAACAAATACTGTATCATTCATCACAGCCAGATTTTATAACTCAGCTGCTCTTATATAATATTCAAAAGCCTTCTTTTCATCTTTTTTAACGTCGCAATCAAATTACCGACAATCACTTCACATACATCCCACTACACTGACACTCTGTTTACTGACAAACATTTTTTACCGACAGCTAATTCGCCGACACTTGATTTACTGACAAGCTTGTTTTAACTAACAAGCTTATTTTGCCGACCCACACTTCACCAACAAGCTTATTTTACTGATGATACAATACACCAACAAGTTTATTTTACCAACAATACAATACACCGACAATACAAGCACAGATTATGAATACAAAAAAAAGTGTTCAGAATTATTTATTCAAAAAAAAAACAAAAAGATGGCAATGTGATATCGAACTGACTTGGATTATGAATATTAGTTAGAACTGGTATCCAATAATGAATTATTTATGTAAAAGAAAAAAAAGGTGCAAAACGATACTTGACCTGACTCGGATTATGAATGCAACTAAGTTAAAATTAGTATCCAGAGAAGAATTGAATTATTTATGTAAAAGAAAAATACAGAACAATACTTGATCTGACTCAGATTATGAATACAAGAAAAGTTTGAATTATACAGCGAAGAGTTGAATTTTTTATGAAAAAAAAGAAACAACAGGATACTTAGCCTAACTCGGATATGATGTAAAAAAAAAGTTAGAATTAATATCAGAGAAGAGTTGAATTATTTATGTAAAAGAAAAAAAAAAAGGTTGAAACGATACTTGACCTGACTTGGATTATGTTTGCAAGTAAAGTCAGAATTAGTATCCAGCGAAGAATTGAACTATTTATGAAAAAAAAGTGCAACATGATACTTAATCTGACTTGGATATAATGTAAAAAAATATCAGGACAATATCCAGCGAAGAGTTGAACTATTTATGAAAAAAAAGTGCAACACAATACTTCGAATTATCCAATGAAGAGTTGAATTTTTTATGAAAAAAAAAGTGCAATACGATACTTAGCCTAACTCGGATATAATGTAAAAAAAAAGATAGAATTAGCATCAGAGAAGAGTTGAATTATTTATGTAAAATAAAAAAAAAGTTGCGAAATGATACTTGACCTAACTCGGATTATAAATGCAAGTAAGTCAGATTTAGTATCCAGAGAAGAATTAAATTATTTATGTAAAAGGAAAATGCAGGCCAAAACTTGATCTGACTCAAATTATAAATGCAAGAAAATTTCGAATTATCTAGTAAAGAGTTGAATTTTTTATGAAAAAAAATGCAACGTGATACTTGACCTGACTCGAATATAATATAA